GGGGAGGAAGAAGGAGGCGGGGAGGAGCTGGGTGGAGGTGGCGGGGAAAGTGTGGAGTTTTGTGGCGGGGGATAAGTTGGGCCCGCGTGTCGAGTGGGTCTACGAGACGGTCGACATGCTGGCGTTGCATGTTATGGAGACGGGATGTGATTGGGAGGACGGGACATGAGGAGGAAGACGGAATACTATTCTTTTTTGGTTAGTTGTTTTATTTTTTTCCGTCGGCAGACTGTATCGTTTGCTGTTCGAGGGGGTTTGGACGAAGATGGTCCATATGGAAGAAAATTTTCGACGGGATTCGACGGTAATGGTAACATTTGAAGCTTACTGCAGATTGATTTGTGATGTATGTTGTTAGGTGGATTATAGGATTTTGTTTTAATTCACTGTTTTGCTTTGGTTTTTACGGCTTGACTTGTAAATATGTGAATTCCAGGGAACAGGAACAGTGTGACTTGTAGTTGGCTGTTAGATTATGTATTATTACCGAAGTTATCTGTAACAGTCTGTTGAAGATTGTTACCATACTTCATATCGTCATCCATATCTCAAGAACTGAGGCGTTTTTTGTTGTAGTCTTGTTTGTTTCATCAAAAAACTTCATGTTGTAGTAGTGGTGAGGTGCTGGAAATGTTTTTTTTTTTTTTTCCGAAACGACAGGATTTATATTTCTGCATAAAAATATGAACATCCGCGAGCTAACTAGCTCGGATATAAATCAGCTTACTAAGGTAAGAGAACCCTAAAATCATTAAGAACAATGTCCCCGGCTAAGTAACTTTAGAATCCTGGGAATTTGTTCTTAAGAATATACCTAATAGCCAAATTGGCCGACAGGCACCCAAAAAAGACTAACCACTGTCTTAAAGACCTAGTTAGACTTCAAAATACTACAAGCAAGCTAAACTACTACAGCATCCTAAGAGCTATGAACACAAAGAAAATCATTCCAGTCTTTAATAGCCAGATTAATTGTATCCCATTCTGATCTCCACACCTTGGAAAAAACTCAAAGATTCCGGGTCTTCCACATCCACCATAGGATGTATGAGGACAGCTGCAGCCTTCTTTCTGAGGTAGGGGAGTTATTAACCGAGCAAGCCTTAGTCCACCACTGCTTGAAATTGTCTTTGTAGGCCCGAATTCCCTCCCATGTGATTGGGGATAGCTTCCAAATGATTTCAGCCCTCCTGCATTCAGAGAATAGATGCTCCTGAGTCTCTTTCCCTTCACCACACATCTTGCAAACTTGATCAATCTCCAGGCCTTTCTGCCATAGGTTGCAATTGACAGGTATTATTCATCCCTTTCCACAAGAAGTGCTTCAGCTTTGGCATAATTTGGAGTCTCCATGTTCTCATTCTGGTCTTTCTGATAATGCACTGATCCCTGCTATTTTCTGGGGTGTCCATTTTCAAGAACTTGTTGTAGATTAACTTGGCATAGGAAGATGATACTGAGAAGTTGCCATCTGCTGTCCACTCCCAAGTCAGTCTATATTTTTGTGTGGGATCCAACCCTTCAATATTTAGAATGGCGTTTGCATCTTTGTCTGTGAATATGTTCTCCACCAGCTTTCTATTCCATTTTCTGCCCCCTTCGTGCATTAGTTCCTGAACCCAGATTAAATTTGTCTGCATACTTCTTCTGACCTGTGGTCTGAACCCTGGAATATTTGGAACCCAAGGGTGGTCCCAAATCTTCACACTCTTGCCATCCTTTATTATGTATCTCAGCCCACTCTTGAAATGGTCTCTTTGTTTGAGCCAACTCGCCCACAGCCATGAGCAATTCCCCTTCTGTTTTGCATTAAAGAAGTCTTCTTTAGGGAAATACTTGGCTTTGAGGGTTTTGCTGGCCAGGGTATTTGGGTGAGTCAAAAGTCTCCACAACTGCTTTGTGATTAGAGCTCTGTTGAATGAATGCAGGTCCTTAAATCCAAGTCCTCCCAGATTTTTAGGAAGTGTCATCTTGTGCCATGCTTCCCAGTGAATGTTGTTGTCCTTGTTGCTGTTTGTTTTCCACCAGAAATTGGCCATGGTGGCTGATATTTTCTTAGTGACCCCCAAAGGAAGTAGAAAGCAGGACATTGAATATGTTGGAAGGGCTCCCCGGACTGCTTTCATCAACACCTCTTTACCTGCAGTAGACAAGAATCTATTTTTCCAATTTGTAATCCTAGAGGCTACAGCTTCTTCAATATATGCAAAGGTGGCTATTTTTGACTTCCCAATACCCAGAGGAAGGCCTAGGTAGCTTGTAGAGGACTGAGGTTTAATACCCATGAGAGTGTTGCAGATTTCATTTTGAACAGACATTGGGGTGTTTTTGTTGGTAGCCGAATTGTTAAGTGATGATTAATTTGCTTGTCAAGCGGGCATTAACGTTTTAGACAGTGCTTTAAGTTCCACAAACATTTGTCAATTTCTTTGTAGTTCAGATGTTCTTTGTACTTGAATTTCCCTTGTGGGAAAAAAAATATATGCAAAATTGCATGTTACACCACCTTTTATCTTTTTGCAATTTAATCGCTACCTTTTGAATTTAGCATTTTAATCAACACCTTTGGAAGGTGTTTTCGACGTTAGCACTCCAACGATCAAGTTAGTATCGGAATCTAGGGAGATGTTGTAACTAATGCTTAAGAAATACTACATCATATTCTTTTTAAATGTCATTTTGGCTTTATCAACCATTAACCAAATAAATGACGTTTTGAATCTTTTGTACATTTTTTTCCATTATTATCTTCATTTAGCTAATAAATAAATTACGTATTTTCATATTCACTCTTAATCTTTTGTCAAAATATCAATCTCTATCTTCATTAATGAGGGTTATTATTGACAAAAGAAATTCTTAATTACTGTGTAACTTCTTAAAACGACACTTATTATGAATAAGAGGGAGTATTAGATAGGTCATAGATAGAGAAAGAGAGAGAATTTCTAATCATACATCACCTCATCTTTTTATAGTGTAATTATCTTGATGTCCAAGGACTATCCGAGAGTCTCAACTTGTTGCCCGAGGGTCGCGCTGATGTGCAAATTGTCTCGAACAGGCAATCAAGGATAATTAACTGTGTTTGCACTCAAGGACGAAAAGAGAAGTGTTTGATGCAATTTTTTGAATTTAAAACACACATGGATAACATGCACATTTAGCATAACACAGAGGAGTTTGATGCAATTTTTCGAACTCGGATCATTGAGCTGGAGCATGAACGTAAACAAAATCCGAATTATTTTGAATTGCTCGGACAATTTTGTGTCTGATTACATATTGGGACATTCATTTCTCCAATTTATTTAGTAATATGTGTGCATGTCTCTTAGAAGAGAATTAATTTTGCAAAAACTCTCATGGATGATATCATTAAATTAATTTATATAATTGTCACACAATTCAAAACGTTTATTTAAAAAAAAAAGCCAAAATCACTAATACTTCAAGCAAGTGATTCCATTAAATTTGACCACGTCCACAAGTAAACAACCACAAAATTTAAAAAAAAAGATAAATTTTATTGCATACCAACTGCATATAACATATACCATGATTCAGAAGATGACACACTACATGATAATAATAACCATAATAAACTCGAAAAGAAAGACATAAATAGCGGGAGTCTCCTCACACTACACCTCCTTCACTTCCACCGCCACCCCATCGGCCCTGACCTCATTTTCCGTCTGCACGGTCTTCTCTTCATCGATCTGAAAAGCCTCAACGGGGAACGAGCGGCTGAGTCCGGCGGGGGTCCTGAAGGTGATTTTTCCGGTGGGTGGGTCGTCGACGGAGATCTCGGAGAGGTTGACCCATAAAAGGAGCTCCTTGGTCTTGACACCTGTCAGCTTCCGGATGCGGTTGGGCTCCACGTAGGCCGTCACCTCGGCCGCGTACCTCACGGGCCGGCCGATCTTCTCGAACCGGTGCTCGCTGTTGGTTTTCTGCCGGAGCCAGACGAAGCCGGTGTCCTTCACGTAGCCGCACTCCAAAATGTCCTTGAGCGGCAGAAGACCGTTGGGGAGGTTCATCTCCGTCAGCAGCTGACGCGACTTCTCCCGGCATATTTCGTCACCCTCGTACCTTTCCGNNNNAATAAATGTGATATTAATTGAGAATTGCAAGGGGAGAGTTACACGTGGCTGGATCTTGGTGACCTAATTTGGCTAGCTACCACCTCATATCTCTCCACGACGCTCGCTTTACTGTCTTGTCACCCTTTTCTAATATTTAAATAAATAAATAAGCTATTAATTTTTACAATTTAAAGAATTAAACTAATAACTAATAAGTTTTGCCAGATGAATAGAGCTATTGAAAGTAGTTTTTTTTTAATTAATTTAAAAATGTTGGGATTTTCAGAACTGCGTTTCATGTTGATCGGAATATAAAGAATGATCATACATATATACTTTGACATAATTAATAAACATATATTGTAATTTTACTATTTTTAAAATAAACAATCAATATACATTGACGTTATTTTTAATTGTTCGTGCTGTCACGTAATTCTATTTTAGATAAATTCGGCACATCACTTTCTTAATGTGTAGATTGTCAAATCATAGTGAAATGTAGTAGCTAGACGGGGATTAATTAGAGCAGGTGGCAAATATTCAAACTCTTTATGTGTGATTTTATTTACGAATCGGGTCCAACCTTTTTGTATGATGTCCTTAATTAAATTTCAAGTGTGTGTTGACTGAAGGTAGTGAGTAGGGTAGGACATCTTCAAACCTATATTACAACTAATTAAGTTGAATAATACTAGAAATCCCGAAAATGAAATATTAAAGAAAAAAAAAATGAAAAGAACAGAGGGCGGAAAAAAATTGAAATTAAAGGATGGAGAGGTCAGGTAGTTGGAAGGAGAAGTAGAAACAAAAATAAATTATTTGCATAGGTGGTTGGAGGTGGAGTGGTAGCAATTTATGGAGACGATATAAAAAATATGTTATCTCAAGGAATCAATATTAATTAATAACAAGTTAATAACGGCATCTGGTAATGTGGGGATATAATTCTAATTCTAATTTTCTTTTATTTCGACCCGTATACAAGATATCATCATAAATACAAGCATTCATTCAATTGAAACACAATTTTAGAACATAGAATCTTTACGCAATAGTAATCATATTGTGCATATGTACAAATGTAAATAAAATATTACTCCCTCCTATTTGATGGATAAAAACTTATGCACAAATGTAAATAAAATATTACTCCCTCCTATTTGATGGATAAAAACCTATGGTTGCATGTAAGAATAAAGAATTACCCTGTTGAAATGACACGCTTCCATACATTGTGTTTATTTAGTGCATTCACTTCGTTGCCAATAAGAGCATGATTACACATTTTTATCAGCATATACATTAGCATGTACTGATAAAATAATCTGGTAATTGTACCACTTTGTCCTTTATTGAATCCTATTACTAACTTTGAAGGTAAGTCGACGCACTTCAATTCAAGATCCGAGCAACAGGCCGAAACCAGACCAGTCTGCTCTACCTCAAACATTTATATGATTTCTGTCCTTTTATTCAATCTGATTGTCTTAATAAAACCAACCGAGAATGAGTTGATTACAATACAAAGGCAAGGTACATACATTAAATTACATAGAAACATGGCCGGAGCTTACTAGCCAAAGAATGGAAAAACGAAAGCACAAACCTAAACAGTGAATGATTGGAAAAATACCTTTGGTTGTTGATTTCCTGTAGCAGAAACTTTTATCTTGAATCGGATTAGTACAAACTCATCTACCAAGAGTGATGAATTTTGAGGTAGTGCTTGCTTAGCTAATGGCTGTTCTAACGCTATTATGAAGCTCTTTTTCCGGCACATTACACATATTGTCAAGCAAGGATTCCAAGTGCTTGACCTCTTTTGGTACTGAACTAGTAAGTACCTAGCCATTATGCAGTTAAGTAAAAGTGTAAGAGATTGGCAGTTAATTGGTTTCAAAACAGTAGGTAAGCTTCAGTTACAAATACGCGATGAGATGGAGAATTACTAATTACATTGAGACTTGAATCTCCTAAAGTATGTAACTGAGAGATTTATTACCTCATATCCTGTCTCTGTTATGAGTACATCATCCTCTATCCTTATCCCAATGCCACGATACCTGCAATTTTAATTATGAAAAGTAGAGATTCGTGTGAAAGAGAATTAATTGTTCACCACAACTCAGGTTAAAAAGTTTATACTGCTTAGGTCCATATGATACTGAGAGGACTTAATTTGAGTGAGGATGAAAATTTCTCATGAAAAAAATTAACTGGTAAATGCCAACCACTCAACCCATCCTAAACTAGACAGGCAGATGAGTTTGGCCAATAACTAAATAAATAGAAATGTAAAGTAAAAGAAGATCAATTTGATTAAGTTAGAAAATTTACCTCTCAGGAACGTCATAACTATGAGAGATATAGACTCCAGGTTCAATTGTGATTACCTGCCCATTGCATAAGGTAAATTTCACGTTGACCCAAAATTTAGTCTCACAACTGGATTACGGAAGATGAAACTGCTTTCTCAAGTTGATTAGAACACAGAAGTTTCCATTAGCTAAAATTAACAGAATTGGTAAAAACTTTAGCACAAAACAAAATTCTGAAGGCTAGTTATTCATTTGAAACAAATCAGCTTTACTGCCACCCCAAAAGCTAGATGAAAAAAAAAAAAAAAACTTTGGACAACAGTTTCCAAAAAACAGTTGCTTGATATATGTCAAGCTTATAAATATTGCAAGAAGAAACTTCTCGCACATTCAATTTGCTTAAGCGTTAAGGAACAATCAAGAACAGTTCTTTTCTAACTTCAAAAGTTCTGTCCTCCCAGAAACTTAAATCCCTCTGGACTTGGATAGCCAGAAGTTGTCGTTCTAGTAGAAATTTGACACCAATATAGAAGAGACAAAAGAACAACCACTGATTCAAAATATATTATTTGTCATAATATACTTTGCAGATATATCTGCTTTGTGCATTTGAATATTAGCATACATTGGCATGCACTTATAAAGCATACTACTACACCCGTCTTCATTATTCACATCAAGCATTTATTCTACTAAATTGACTTTCTCAGTTCTCTCATTTTCTTTTATTTATTTTTTTTTAATAGAGCAAATGTATTATTATTGATGGAGGGAACTTACGACACCAGGCTTCAATGGCCGGTCATAGCCAATTTGGGAACAATCATGGACATCCATTCCTAGAAAGTGACCTGGATGACATCATAAATACACTTACTGATATCAATTATTATGGAATTTCCTGGTAACTAGAATCGTGCAGGCCAAGTATCTAACAACAGTAGTTATTGTAGATAAGTGGACAGAAGAGTAGATGAAAACCTATATTGGTGGGGTTCAGCATATGGTAGCTCTGAGGTTTATCGCTTTTCAAAACTCCAAGCTCTTTGAATCCTTTCCGCAGTTTGTTGACCTACCCCAGGACCACAATGCAGAATCTATTAAGATCTCATAATTGAATAGGCATAGAATATTATAGTGAGTATGATATTAGATTAAACTTCTCAGCATTGAAGGAACAAGTATTACTAGTCCATTGATATATTAGTATCTGTCAATGTAAAATTAAGAAATACTATTAGAACCAATTCAAGTTTTACCGAGTAATTGTGTATTTCGCGAATGCTAATCCCAGGTTTGCATAGCCCCAAACATTCTTTATTTGTCTCCAATATAAGGGAATATAGTTCTTCCTGCAATAGAGTCATTTAGAATACCTAAATAATTTACAGGAAGCTAATAAACAAATGGTCCCTCTTTTGAAAATTGTAAGAAACGAGAAAGGAAAAGCCAACTGATTTCCAAGAACATGAAAGAATGAAGAGATGATGATTAGGCATAATTTGAAGTGAAGAAAGTTAAAGTTGTTCATACTACACGAATTATTTATAAACTTCCTGCATTTCGCAACGTATCTTCCCGAAAAATGGTTCCTTTTCCTGGTCTAATTCTTTTGGAGATATGACTTTACTGATACTACTACAACATCAAAAGTGAATGCACAAACAAGTGGAGGTTTGTCTTTGCTGTTTAAAACATCATATAGATAGGTTTTCAGGTTCAGGCCATGAGTCTCAACTTTAGCAGAACTAACAACATTTTCTTAACATTTTTTATGCCGTTTCCATTAACGCAAAGATTAATCACATGTCTCTCTCTCTCTCTCTCTCTCTCTCCCTCTCTCTCTCTCTCTCACTTTTTTTATGTTTCACACACTTGTTTTAAAAATGTAGTGCATTATGTAGAGTGCTATTGCCAAAAATACTCGAAATAACGACGTAGAGTTTGAAATTTCGCGTTTTACCTGAAATACCTACTGTAAAAATGTTGATGTGGCTCTATTTTGCGCTTTTTTATACTTAATTGTGCTATTTTCACTCTACAGTATCAAAAGAACAAAATTATCAAAAATACTTTTTTCTTTTGTATTAGGGTCATGTTTGTTGAAAATGAAAAAAAAAATGATATTGATTTCTAACAAAATCTTTTATTAAGTTAATAACTTACATCTTTATATCTTCATAGCATAAATTAAATTAGGTTACGACTATTGTTTAATAGGAATATAAACAAATTAGTATTAAATGTTTGAAAGAAATAATACCTCAATGTTATTGTTGAATTCAATATTCAATATGAAAACATTATATTTGAATTATATGCTTATTTTTGTTGTATATAAATATATAATATTATTACAATTACAAACGTTCATGCTCCAATAGTTTAAGCAACAAGCAACGTTATATACGCTACGCTATATGTGTTTTAAAACACTGGCTCACCTAAGTAATCTGTTATCTTGCTATGCATCTCTGCCAACAAGTACAATAAAAGGCTAAAAGGTTTTCAATATTCTACACTACATAAATGGGCGTCCCAGAGCATGTTCCTTCTTCAAATGCATTTTGATCTGATGAAGCCAACATCAGTATCAGAGAGTAGCCTCTCATAATTCTACTCCAGCAATAAGTTCAGTGGAAGAGATTTCTATCAGTAAAAGAAAACACATGCATTTTCTTTATTCCCTGTCCAATGACATATCTCAAGTCAACAGTTCAGTGCTTCACTGATTATCCTATTCTCTCCAAATTTTTCAAAAAAATTCGACCAGCGTGCCAAAAACCAACTCTTGTGAATCACCTGCTCCATATTACTGTTAGCCATTGTTTTACTTGTCATGTGATAAATAAATTATCATGATTCATGAACTAAAAAACTTATGTAGCAAGACTCTATTGGTTGGATCTACTGCAGCTCCATATCCTTCATCCACATATAGCTGTCACAGATTTAATTGTATGTATATACACATATTACTTGGGTATATTTTCTCCTAATTATTTATTTGGGTACATTAGGATTTAAAATTATTTATTTGTATATTTTGAGTATGAAGGGGGAGGTTTTTCTATTTTTGGAACACATTGTAACCTAGTGCCGTCTCTTCTAACTACCATATAACCTTTTCACTCTAAAGATAATAACCTATATATAATAGCGTTTCATAGTCCCGACTTGGCATTGGAAGGGAGATTAACACTTGATAAAATAGAACCTCTTTAAATTAAGTTTATGTGGTCCTGAAGTTACTAATTTAGCAAAGCTCTATAACTGACTTCCTGTATTTACAATACACACAGAAATTATCCCATATTCTCTCATTTACAAATAAATCGAAGCATCAGATACAAGGAAATAAGTAAATAACCATATCGACTTTGCATACCTGAACTGGGGAGAATCTACAACAAGGTGGCCATGTACGAGTCAGATCACTAACATAACCATGGAGCTCACATCCTACATCCATGAGAACCAGATCTCCTTCCCGGACCTGTCACAAAATTAAACAGCTTATGAAGAGTTTAGGAAAACAAGGGAATTCAGATAAACACATCAAAATAAGCAAACTTACCCTCTGATCATTACGGGCATAATGAATGACACTGCCATTATGACCTCCACCAACCACTGGATTGAAGCTGTATTGAAA